AGTTAATGTGCCTCTTCATTTCTAAATGGAGTCCAGGTATAGCTCTGTAGGATAAGTACTTGACTGCTAACCACAAGGTTGTAGGTTTAGACTCACCAGCCGCTCCTTGGAAAATCCTATACAGGTCGCTATGAACTGGAACCCACTCAACGGCCCTTAACCATAACAGCAAACTTTTCTCAATGGATTTCTCTCCACATCTCAGCTTGCCCATTAGCAAAATGAAATTATACAAAGCAGATCTTTGACTAGAAGACATTCTTCCCTCCCCTTTAAAACTTCTCCTAAAGTCCAATACTGCAATTAATTAGGGTACTTACAGAGTGTGATATTTTGGGAGAGCTAAATTCTTGCATTTTCACAGAAGCATAGATCATGACAGAAAAACAAGACTTGTTTATAACTTTTATATGTGATGCAGTAAGTAAGATATATTTAATTTCAAATTTAGGAGGCCAAGAAAGAGCAACTTGAATAACAAAGGTATAAATTGGAAGAACAAGGACTTAAATTGGATTACCTTTACAATTGTACGTGAACTAGATGACTAGGGGAATTGAGCTAACGTAGTTTTTTTCCACAGTCAGCTAGCCTATACTATAAGCAAGTGATTAAAACTTATTTACACCAAATTATGAGGTAGAGAATGATACCATTTCAAAATACTTGATGGTTTAATTAGTGATAGTTGATAAACTGCTCCTAATTACAGATATAAAAACTCTGATAAAAGAGAGTCCACATGGCAGAACTAGGATGGTATCCCGTATCCAGTCTCCTGCTTAGGAGCTTCCCTGTGGCACAGTGCCTCTCCCTAGTCTCTTGCTGACCACTTGCAAGAACCGTTTTTTGGTGTTTTTTTTTACCCCCCCTCCCTCAATCCAGTTTATTTACTTTTTAAATTCTGAAACCATAAAAGTGATTATACAATGCCACCAGCATATGAAGATGTGTACAGGGTTAATAACTGGGTGGGAGAAAAAAATTTAGAATAGAGGAGAGCATGTATATAATATTCACAAACATTTATTAATGCTTACCATGTGCCACTCACTCTTCTAAGTGCTTCAGACACTTACAAAGCCTTAAGTTGTCATAACCCCACGAGGCATATTATTATTAACCCCATTTTTCAGATGAAGAAACTGAAGTACATACAGCTAATAGTGGCAGACTCTATTGAACATAACTTTTATACATACTGGGAAAACAAATAATTCATATGACATGATTTATTACAATATTTACTGTATTGCAGTGGTCTGAAACCAAACCCACATCACCAAGATTTTCTGTTTGAGGTGTTGAGTGAGTTGGAAGTGGTTAGTGATGGTAGCACAACATGGTGAAAAAATTAATGTCACTGAATTTAACACTTAAAATGATTAAAATATACAGATCTTTAATGTTCCATGTGTGGAGTTTGACAATTGCATGTTGTTGTTAGCTGCCGTGGGTTCTGACTCAAGATGACCCCATGTGTGTAGAATGGAACTGCTTCATAGGACTTTTAAAGCTGTGATCTTTCAGAATCAGATTGCCAGGTTGTCTTCTTAGGTGCCTCTGGGTGGGTTTGAACCACCAGCCTTTCAACTATTAGGTAAGCACTTACGCATGTATGCCATCCACGGGTAACTGACAGTTGTATAAACACACGGTAATATGTTACAATATTTCAAATCCAGCCTTGTAAAGGGACAGTCTAGGAAACAGGATAGTGGCAATCTGATGATGGGTGTTTGATTAGCATTGGCTTTGTTTTGCCAGTTATTGAAGATTCAGAAGGTCAATAATTATAGCAAACTGCAGTCTAGTTTTTGAGGGAGAACTTTGATTTTTTTCTCATGTCATAGAGATTCCACTTACTTCATTAAAGTAACTTCCATTGAAACTATTCTATATGGTTCATTCCTAATTTGAACTGTAGTTATCCATATTTAGTACTGTGTATATAGGCAGTGGAGTCCTGGTGTGGCACTGTGGGCTAATACATCAGACTGCAAAGTTGTTTGAACTGCAAGGTTGGCAGTTCATCAGCAGCTTCTTGGAAACTCTCTACAGGGTCGCTATGGGTTGGAGTCTACTCAACGGCACGTTAACAGTATAGGCAGTAGATTCCTGGTGTAGCATTGTAAGATAAGCACTGGACTACCAACCATGAGATCAGTGGTTCAAATTCACCAGCTGCTTCTTGGAAACCCTATACAGGGTCACTATGACTCTGAGCTGTCTCCAAGGCACTTACCATCATCAACATATAAGTTATAGGGAACCCTGGTGGGGAGTGGTTAAGTGTTCAATAATAATGAAAAGATTAAGGTCAGGGTTTTCAACCCACCAGCTGTTCTGTGGGAAGAAGATGTAGCAGTGTGCTTCTGAAAGGACGACTGCCTTGGAAACCCTGTGGGGCTATTCTCCCCTGTTCTCACTGTGAGTTGGAATTGACTTGAAGACAGTGGATTGTGTTTTGGTTTTGGTGTATAGGGTATTTTTTTCCCCCTCCAGATCTTATTACATAAATACCCATTATATTGAAATCTTCACTTTTTTTTTCACTTTCCCCAAAAGAATCTACTTATTTTGAGCAATACTCAGTTCTGTTCACAAAGTCAGTCCTATAAAGGATGTGAGAATATTATTTGAGAAGTAGCATTACTTTTGATAACCAGGAAAAAAAAAAACACATGAAAAAAATCCACACAGGAAAAACACATACTAATTAAGGTTAGGGTTAGGGCTTTCCAGAAGTCATGCCACCGGAAAGGCTACATGTAACCACGCCTCTTGCAAAGGATCTCCTTCATCCCTCTCCAGAAGAGGAAATGCAAGAAGTGCCTGGTGCCGAGCCCCAGTTCTGCTTCATGGATGTGAAATGCCTAGGTTGCTATAAAATTGCCACTGTCCAAAGGAGCTCTGGTAGCGTAGTGGTTATGAATCAGGCTGCAAACCGTAAGGTCAGCAGTTTGAAACTACCAGCTGTTCCGCCGGAGAAAGATGAGGCTTTCTGCTCCTGTAAAGATTTACAGCCTCGGAAACCCTGTACAGGGTCGTTATGAGTCAGTTCCGACTCCACGGCACATAACCACCTCCACCACCATATGAGCCTACAGGAGGAAAAGCGAGGCATACAGAAGGGTGCTCCTTCACACGAAAGCAGCGCTGAATGCCCTCCAAAGGTAGATGAGTGGGAAACCATTCCAGTAAACATATTTTGGATACAAAAAAAAAAAAAAGAGTTGTTATTAAGTTCTATCAAGTTGGGTCCAATTCTTAGTGAAGGAGCAGCTGGTGGGTTTGAAGCACTGATCTTGTGGTTAGTAGTCCAGTGCTTACCCTGCAGCACCATACCATGACTCTGTGTGCATTTATCACAATGGATTTTTTTCTTAAGTTTTGCATTGAAAAATACTGGTACCAGGTAAAAAGGGCACATGAAAAAAAAGCCCATACGGGAAAAACCCACTGTGCTTTTTTTCATGTGCCCTGTTTTCCAAGAACCAGTATTTTTCAATGTGAGGCTAGAGTAACAATTAGTGCCGTGAACTAGGATACAGTTTGATAATCTTTAATAAATTTCCAAAAATTTGCATTAGAAGAGATTACTTTTGTATCATTACAGTAATTATTTCCATGTTAATCTTTTCCTAATGATGTTTTTCCTAATGCATTGGTAGCATTTGTGGGTAGAGGAGAAGGAGGTCTGAGCCACATGTGCTTTAAAAAATAAGTTATCTGGGTACTATGCTGGCCCCTCCAACTGGCTCTTAGCCAACCAGTCAGCCTAGTTTCCCTTGGCCATTTAACTAGTGTATGGTGAGTTGTTTATATTGAGAATAAGCCGAGTTAAGATGAATGCATGTATTAAAACATATGTTGGAACACAGTGTGATGGAGAAGAACTTTTTCTATAGGGGCAAGAGTAGAATGGAAACAGATTCACATTCAGGTTGCTAAGCTTTCCCAACTCTGAAAGCCATTGAAAGACATGATTCCTGTAAGTTAAAGCTTTGCCCAGTAATGTGTTTCATGTGCTGCTAGTTTATCTCTAACCATGAAACACTCAAACTGTACAAAGGTAGTCTATATGTACAGTCATTAACTAATTTTAAAAATTTTGTATGAAGAGATGGAGATGGTTTTCCTGGCACCCATATGGGACTGGTTGGTGAAGATCGGCAATGGTTCTGTAGCAGGGTGGTGCTTGATGCTGGTTATTCATTTACAGGTAGTTTTTTGAAAATGGCTGCTTCTCATTTTTCCGGGCTCACAGCCGTGGCTGATGTAATTAAAGATTTAGACACTCAGATAGCTGTAAGTAAGCCCTGTGAGGCTGCTGTGTGCAGAACTTGGTGAATGTGCTTCTGACCCTGATGACCTCAAACCGATGTCCAAGAATCAACCTCATAGACTAACATTTAAGAGTCCCAGCAGCTCTAGACTGGGGACTGTGCACATAGTTAAAGACTGCTAGCATTCAAAGAAAAATTGATTTTGATAATAAAGAAGAGCTTACTTTTAACAATGCTAAAGTTGTGTTGATTGAGCATAGCCTGACATAGACTTAAGCATGTTTTGAAATGCCAAAATAAGCTAATCGGTTTTCTGACTGAGTTTTAAGTATGTGATTGTGCCATGATTTATTTGGATTTAACATTTGATGCTTAAAAATATGCATGTAGTACTTAAGGAAGTATTCTGTTTTTATAAAGTACTCCAAAATGTTTTGCTCATTTTAATAACACAAGACTCCTCATTTTATTTACTTTCTTCCTCATTTCAATATGTGGATTATTGAGTTTAGCTTTTGGAGACGAGATGGTTTCTGGATATCAGGTGAGAGTAACAAACAGTCTTCACTTCCTGTTTTGCATGTGCAGGTATCAAATGTCACCATCCCAGATATACGCAAGACCCTCAAAGACTGCATTCAATTTTACTTTAAAAACTCATCCTTTATTGCAGTTGCTGCTAGAGCTAATCTTCATGTTTTCTATCTGCAGTTGATTGGCCTTGGTCCTCACAACTCCAAAAAGAAGCAAGATCTTGATAAGCTCTATGAGCTGAAGTCCAAAGCTCAACAGATTATGAACCAGTTTGGCCCCTCAGCCCTCATCAACCTCTCCAATTTCTCATCCATAAAACCGGAACCCGCCAGCACCCCTCCACAAGGCTCCATGGCCAATAGCACTGCAGTAGTAAAGATCCCAGGAACTCCTGGCACAGGAGGGCGACTCAGCCCTGAAAACAACCAGGTATCATCCTCTTACTGGTCTGCTCTCTGTAGACACCTTTTGCGTGTTATTTGAATCAGTAATGCTTGAGAGCTGTCCATCTTAGATACTATACCTCTTTCTCTCAGCTGAAAAAAAGGTCTCTTTATTAATTTTCATTGCTGTTATATATGTATCTATGTGGATATATGAGGATAAGTTAAAAAGTATTACTACTAGAGTTCCTGGTGTGGCACTGTGGGCTAATACACTGGATTGCAAAGTCAATTTGAACCACAAGGTCGGCAGTTCAAGTTCACCAGCTGCTCCTTGGAAACCCTATATAGTGGCCCTACGAGTCAGCATCAGCCTTGTGGTTCAAAGAAACCTTGCAGTCCAACGCATTAACCTGCAGAGCCACACCAGGACTCTTTAGTCTTCTTGTTGTAAAGTGCCATCCAGTCGTTTCCAACCTATGGAGACCCTATATGTAGGATTCCAAAATAAAGCATAGTTCAAAGTGCTGATTTTTAAAAAATTTTTAATACAAGATGGGAACTAATGAATACAATTTTATGGAATGAGTCATAATCAGGACGAGTCTTAGATTTACCAATATGATCCAAGGAGCAAGGTCCAATCAAAACAGTAACTTCCAGTGGGATTTGCTGGACCAGTTAAATTCAAGGCACAGAGGTTGGCTCTAAAGGTTATAATGTTTCCAAAGGGAATAATCTTGATAGTTTTTGTTGTTGTTGTTTTTTTCAAGGACATGGGATGACCATGGGGCTTATTAGGAAGAAGTTTTAGGAAAATTGCACTGAGGATGTTTTTCCATCACAACAAAGTTCCTTCTCATTCTTCAAGGGTAGCAAGGGCTGTCCTAAGAGAATTTCATTGAGAAACCGTACCCTAGCCATCCTACAGCCTTGATCTTGCCACTTCAGATTTCTTTTTGTTCCCCAAACTCAAAGAACATTGAAAAGAAACACAATTTGAGTCCCTTGGGGATACCACAACTGTTGTTTTGATTTGGTATAAATCGAAGAGTGCAGAGTTCTTCAGGGAAGGCTTAGAGAGATGGAAACACCACCTTCAGAAGTGTATAGACCTAGATGGAAGATATGTTAACTTCACATTTTGACACTTCCATTTTTAATAAAAGTGTATATGATTTTGTAGCAATACTTTTTGACTTACCCTCATGTGTATGTATGTTTGTGTGTATACATATATATGTTGCTGCTGTTGTTAAGTACTATGGAGTCAGTTCCAACTCATAGCGACCTGTATAGGCTTTCCGAGAAGCAGCTGGTGGGTTTAAACTGCCGACCTTGTGGTTCATAGTCCAGTGCTGATCCTATAGTGCCACACAAGGATATATATATATGGTGTTACGTGCTGGTTCCAACTCAGCAACCCTATATAGGGTCTATGAGGAGCAGCCGGTAGGTTTGAACTGCTAACATTGCAGTTCAGTCTTGTATGTATGTATATGTGAGTGTGTGTGTATGTGTGTATGTAGTTAAATAATATGTATATATTATAGATATAGATACATATATATATATAGTTAAAATATTTATGGTGCTGTGGGTTAATGCACTGGACTACAAAGTTGGCTTGAACCACAAGGTTGGCGGTTCAAGTTCACCAGCTACTTCTCAGAAACCCTATGCAGAATGGCTGTGGGTTGGAACTAACTATACAGCACTTAACAACAACAATAATGAAAGTTCTCTTTCTAGTTCTTAAAATTGCTTCCATTATTAATTTTTGCAATAATTCTAAACTCTGACCTCTGATTCTGCCCTCCAGAGAAACAGAAATAAGTTTGATCCATTTCTTGGATGTGGAGCTAACATTGCAATGGAATAGTGGAGGGACTAGCAAAGGTGAAGGTGGAGAGTTGAGGAGATAGAAGACCAACATTTACTGACTATAGTTTGTTAAAGAATAGAAGGAGATAAAACTGTACAGGTAGGATTATGTCAAGATAGAAGTCTTTGTAGGAGCAGAGAGCCTCATCTTTCTCCTGCGAGTGGTTGCCAGCCTTGCAATCAGCAGCCCAGTACTCCCTCTGTAAGTACTTCCAGGGCTCCTTTAGTAAGTTTACATTGGAACTTTTAGTCTTTGCAAGTTTCTAATAGCAGAATAAGATAGCCTACAAAACAAAATGTTATAGAAGGATTAACTTGGGTAAGGAGACAAGACCAGTAGGAAAAGATATAGACTTAGAGGAAGATAATGTTTAAATAAGACTGTTGCAGTAAATCAAGGCATGTAGTGAAGCCTTAAATTAGATGATAATGGTAAACTGAAGAAAAATAAATGAAGAGTGATTCCATCAACAAACACAAATTTAGAAATTATTTTCTTATTTCCAAAGCTATTCATATTTATTACAGACACTTGAGAAATATAGAAAGAATAAGTAGTATATAATTCTACTACCTCTACCCCAAAATAACCGTGGTTAGCATATACTGTATGTGTTTTGATCATTTTTTAATGGCCCACATATGTTATATAATATTCCTCTAAAGAAAGAAGAGTAATAGTTTTCCATACTATATAAATATTTAGTGATACAGAGATGAGCACATGTTTACAGCTTACCTGTTAAGTCAGAGACAGGCAAACATGGAAAAATGCAGCATACCAAAGGAACAAGTGGTTACTTTCACCTGACTGGGCTAGGATAGCCATGAGCTGAGCAGATAGGAAAAACCAAGGAAGAGAATGTCTAAAAACTACACTCATGGCACAATTTGTGATGGTCAGAGAACTGCAACTTGCTTAATGTTGGGAGATGATGAGGCACAGTGAGAAAGAGAAATGAGGTTTAAATAAACTCCGTGACAGTTGGATGCTGACCTCTCTTTCAAACTACTGTTTCTGCCTTTGCCCAGACTGCTGCTCTCTTGAGAATGTATTCTTGTAACACCATCACCACAAGGTAGATCAGACTGTGAACTTTTTGGAAAGTAGAAACTAAACGATTTGACAGTGTTCTCTATAGGGTAATGTGCTATTTTGTCTTTTCAATACATGGTTAACTTTAGGTATTGACAAAGAAGAAATTGCAAGACTTAGTAAGAGAAGTGGATCCTAATGAGCAGTTGGATGAAGATGTGGAAGAGGTAAGATGGGGTTGGATATCCCAGTGAAGTGACTGTGCCCCTGAGAGCTGATACACATAACATAGCCATTAAAAGTACAGACTTGAGTGGCAGAAAATCTGAATTTGAAATTGACTCTACCATTTACCAGCTTTGCGACTGTGGACAAGTTTCTGAACCTGTGGCTTTCTGAGCCTCAATTTCCTCCTGTGTTGGTAGGGTCTGATGATATTCACTAGAGATTTATTGTGAGGATCTCATGGGATAATTTACACAAGTGATCTAGCTTTATACTTAGTAGCTGCTGCTACGTTTGCCTGTCAAAAAGGCACAGTGTGCTACTCAGGCAATCATTTTTAAAAAGTTTTAGCTGTAACTACAGCTTAATGTGGAATCCTCGTGTGGTGCTGTAGGATCAGCACTGGACAGCTGACCACAAGGTTGGTGGGTCAAACTCAACCAGGAGCTCCTTGGAAACCCTATAAAGGGTTGCTATGAGTCAGAACCAACAGGACAGCACTTAACAACAGCTTAATGCTGTCAAAGTTCATTCATGTTATAGCATTTGTCAGCATTTAATTTCTTTTATGACTGAATAATAATTGCATTGTAGGAATAATACATGTTTTGTTTATCCATTCATCTATGACTAGATATTTGGGTGGTTTCTACTTTTGGGCTATTATAAATAATAGCTCTCTGAACATTCATGCTCAAGTTTTTCTGTGGACATATGTTTTCATTTCTCTTAGGTATATAACTAGGATTGGAATTTCTGGGTCATATGGTAACCATGTTTAACCTTTTTTAGACTGTATTTTTAAAGCACTGCATCATTTTACATTGCCACCAGCTACATCTAAGTATTTCTTTTTAATATATATTACTTTTTTTTCGTCCTGGTGTGGCGCTGTAGGATAAATTAGTTGTTGTTAAGTGCTATGGAGTCAGTTCCTACTCTTAGCAACCTTGTATTTCCAAGGAGTGGCTTGTGTTTCCAAGGAGTGGCTGGTGAGTTTTAGCTACTAACCCTGCAATTCAAACATCCAGTGCTTATTCTACAGAGCCACACCGGGACTCCTTCAAGGATAAGTAAATACTGGACTGCTAACCACAAGATCGGTGGTTCAAACCACCAGCTATTTCTTAGAAACATTGTATACAGGGTCGCTATGAGTTAGATCCGACTCGATGCACTTAACAACAATGACTTTTTTGATAATTTCTTCTCCTTTGCTTTACCTTTTTTCTGGAATAACACTTGGTTGGATATTGATTCTTTTGGGTTAATCCTCGTAGGTTTGTTTTTGTTTTTGTTTTTGTTTTAATCTTTTCTCTCCATTTTTCACATCTTTTTAAGTTCTGTTTTCTGGGGAAATTTCCTTTATGCTGTCTTCTAAAAATCCTTTTAATTATTTAAAATTTTGGTTATGAAAATTTTTATTTCCAAGAACTTTTTCTTGTTGACTCCCCTGCCCCCCCCAAAGTCACTCTGTTCTTTTATGGTTGTAATATCTTATCTCTCTCTGAGGGTATTATACATACTTACTGACATTTTTATTATTGTCTCTGCATTGCCTTAGTTTCCTTTTTTGATTTGTTTATTTTCTTTTTAGTGTTGGAGACTTTATTTAAATGTCTGATGAAATACTGGCTATCCATTATTAAGAAATGAGCCACTAAAAAGCTGATTGAAGCAGAATGTACTGATTGATGGGTTTGCCTGGTGTGCACTATTGTTAGGTGCTTTTGGGTCAGTCCATTGAGTCAGTTCTAACTCATAGCAACCCTGTGTCCAACAGAAAAAGAACACTGCACTATCCTTACAATAGAATCTTGGTGTGGCACTGTGGGTTAATGTGCTGGACTGCAAATTCGGTTTGAACCGGAAGGTCAGCAGTTCAGGCTCACCAGCCACTCCTCAGAAACCCTACACAATGAATCTGAATCAACTCGACGGCACTTAACAACAACAACAATCCTTAAAATCACTGCTATGTTTTTGCTCATTATTGCAACCACTGTGTCGCTCTATCTCAGTGAGGGTCTTTCCCTTTTTCGCTGACTCTGCTTTACCAAGCATGCTATCCTTCTCCAGGGACTGGTTCCTCCTGATGTTATTGTTGTGGTTAAGTGCTGTTGAGTTGATTTTGATTCATAGTGACCCTGTATAGGGTTTCCAAGGAGCAGCTGGTAGGTTTGTACCCATGACCTTGCATTTAGTAGCCAAATGCTTATATAACTACAACACCACACCAGGACTCCTGATAGCATGTCCAAAGTAAATGAGACAAAGTCTCATCATCCTCATTTCTAAGGAGTATTCTGACTGTTCGTGGTATATTTAGTATCCTTTGCTAGCATCATCATTCAAATGCATAAATTCTTTGTTCTTCTTTTTCATTGTCTGGCTTTCACATATACCTATGAGGAGATTGAACATACTCTGGCTTGGGTCAGGCACACTTTAGTCTTCAAAGTGACATTTCCGCTCTTTAACACTTTTTGCAGATTTACCCAATGCAGATGACTGCTGCTTCCATGAGTATTGATTGGGGATTCAAGTAAAATGAAACCCTTCACAACTTCAGTATTTTATCCTTTTATTATGATGTTGCTTATTGATCCAGTTGTGAGGATTTCTGTTTTCTTTATTTAAGGTATAACACATACTGAAGGCTGTTGTCTACTTTCAGCAAGCAAGGTTTTATCATCTGCATATCTCAGATTGTTATTGAGCCTTAATCTAATCCTGATGCTGGGTTCTTCTTGTAGTCCAGTTTCTCGGATTATTTGCTCAGCATATAGATTGAATAAGTATGGGAAAAGGATACACAACCCTGACTCATACCTTTTCTGTTTTTAAATCACATAGTATTGTCTTTCCTGTTTGGACAACTGCTTCTTGCTCTATGTACACGTTCCTCATGAGCACAATTCTGGAATCCCCATTCTTCACAATGTTAACCATAATTTATGATTTATACAGTCAAATGCCTTTGCACAGTCAATAGAATATAGGTAGACATCCTTCTGGTATTTTTTGCATTCAGCCAAGAATCATCTTACGTCAGCAGTGATATCTCTGGTTCCACATTCTATTCTGAACCTAGCTTGAATTTCTGGCAGTTCCCTATCAATGTATGAGGGTGAGTTAAAAAGTTATCCACACTCTGGTTATATTAAAACTTCTTTGTCTACACTGTTTTATCAGCAGTTTCCATTCAAGGTCATGCTGTGCAGGTGTGAACATAGCATCTGCAAACAAAATTTAGACCAAAACTTGAAAGAGGGTAAAGTTCTTTTAAAAAATCATTACTGGTGACAAGACATGGATTCATCACTATGAGTCGAGAGTAAATGGCAGAGTGTGGAATAGGAACATCCTCAATTGCCAACCAAGAAAAAGTTCAGAAGTCACCTGTCAGCTGGGAAATTGATACTTACAGTTCCTGGGATTCTCAAGGGCCAATATTGGAAAACTATCAGGAAAAAGTTTCAACAATCAACACTGCTAATTACAGTGAGATGCTTACTGAAGATCTGAAGCCTAAATTTTGGATTAAACACAGTGGAGTGCTATCCATGGACAGTGTGATCTTGCATGATCGTACATGTCCACATACCTCTGTCCACACTATTGGTGCTAAACATCCTTCCTATAATCGTGATCTTGCTCCATTGGAATTTCATCTATTTTGTCCCCTGAAAGCAGCCCTTTGAGAATGAAAATTCACCTCCGATGAAGAAGTAAAGAGAGTGATGTACTTGTGGCTTGCAGCTCAGCCTAAAACATTTTTTAATAAGGGGATATGAAAGCTTGTTTACAGATAGACAAAGTGTATTGAAAAGCAAGGAGATTGTATTGAACAATGATGTATTTATCTTTTCTAAAAGTTGATTAAAATAAATTCTACAATCAGAGTACAGATAATTTTTGACTCATCCTCATTCTACTGCAACCATTTTGAATTATCTTCAGCAAACTTTTAATATGCATGTGATATTAATGATATTATTTGGTAATTTTGCATTCTGTGGGATCACCTTTCTTTGGAATGAGCATAAATATGGGTTTTTTCCTGTTGTTTGGCCAGGTAGCTGTCTTCCAGATTTCTTGGCATAGATGAGTGAGTGCTTCCAGTGTTGCATCCAATTGTTGAAATATTTCAGTTGGTATTCCATCAGTTTCTGGAGCCTTGTTCTTGGCCAAGCAGCTTAGATTTCTTCTTTCAGTACCCTCAATTCTGTAACCATATGCTACCAATTTTGAAATGGTTGAACCTTACCAGTTTTTTTTGATACAGTGTATTCCTTCCTCTTTCTTTTGATTCCTGTGCCATTTAATATTTTGCATATAGAATCCTTGAATATTACAAATTGAGGCTTGAATTTTTTCTTCAATTCTTTTAGCTTAAGAAATGCCAAGCATTGCTTCCCTTTTGTTTTCTAATTCCAAATCTTTGTACATTTCATTATAGTTCTTTACTTTTTCTTCTCGAGCTGTCTTTTGAAAATTTCTGTTCAGCTCTTTTATTTCATCATTTCTTTAGTCGCTGTAGCTTCTGTACATTCAAGAGCAAGTTTTCAGAGTCTCTTCTGACATGTATTTTGGTCTTTTCTTTCTTTTCTGTCTTATTAATGACTTTTTGCTTTCTTCATGTTGATTCACTTTAGTTTTCCCACCTGATTCCAAAGAAAATGTGAGGGCAGGGATTGGGGTAGTTGATCATTGGAGCATAGAAAGGGCAGAAAGTATATCGTTAGAGACATGTCATTTGCATTGGTTCTGGGTTAAAGAATATTTCTGTTGCCTTCCCATTTTTCCTTTCGACCTTAGCCCATATGTTGATTTTCTGGCTGTCTCATGGATTCCAGGCTTCACTGACTATGTAATTCTAGCCGGTAACAGTTGTCCCAACAACAGGAGCCTACTCTGCCAATGTCATGGTTACTCTTCCACACTTTTGCCTTCCCCAGATGCTGCTGCAGATTGCTGACGATTTTATCGAGAGTGTGGTGACAGCAGCCTGCCAGCTTGCCAGGCATCGCAAGTCCAGCACCCTGGAGGTGAAAGATGTCCAGCTGCATCTAGGTATGTGGTCTTATTTCTTCCTGAGGTACCCACACAGCTGTTCCTTCAGCACTGCCACAGTGTTATCAGGGGCTCCCTCGCCCCAAGAGAGACTTGGGCTCTAATCTACGTATTCATTCAATGGCAACATTAGACAGAGAAGAGAAATCCATCCGTGGCAGGTAGAGTGAGTCCAGCCAGGCACTGGGCTCAAAATCATATTCTGCCACTTTCTAGCTGTATCACTTATCCTTCCTATTCATTTCTCTTAGAGCTTGTTTCCTCATTTATAAAGCGAGGATCTTAATATCCTCCTTACAGGGTAATTGCAAGAATTATGTTATGATGTTTGCAGTGTGCCTGGCACAGGGCCTGACACATAGGAAGAGCTTATAAAGTAACTGCAGTTATGTTTCTACCATTCAAATAAATATGGATCTCTTCCAATCTGTTGACCAGGTAGTTGTCTTCCAAATTTCTTGGAATAGATGAATGAGCACCTCCAGTGCTGCATCAGTTTCGTTTCTTGAAACATTTCCATTTGTATTCTGTCAATTCTTGAAGTCTTATTTTATGCCAATTCCTTCAGTACAGCTTGGACTACTTTCAATGCCATCAGTTCTTGATCATATGCTACCTCTTGAAATGGTTGACCATTAACCATGTCTTTTTGGTACAGTTTTTCTTTGTATTCCTTCCATTTTCTTTTGCTGCTTCCTGCATCGTTCAGTATTTTTGCCCATAGCATCCTTCAGTATTGCAACTGGAGGCTTAAAGTTTTTTCTTTAATTCTTTCAGCTTGAAAAATGCTGAGCATGTTCTTCCATTTTGGTTTTCTAACTCCAGGTCTTTGCACATTTCACTATAGAAATTTTATATTTCACTATAAAACTTTGCTTCAGCTTCTCTTGTTTCTCCTTTAAATGATCTGTTAGCTCATTTTTACATTCTCGTTTTTTCCATTCACTTTTGTTTTCCTACTTTCAAGAGCAAGTTTCAGAGTCTCTTCTGCCATCCGTTTTGATCTTTTCTTTCTTCCCTGTCTTTTTAGTGACTTTTTGCTTTCTTCATGTTCATTGTTCTTGGTGTCATCTTACAACTCTTCTGATCATCCGTCATTAGTGTGTAATGCATCACATTTCTTAAGATGGTCTCCCCAGAGAGGGAGAGGGGTTGTGTCCTGATGACCGTAGGGCAGGCCTGGAGGATATACCCTTTGGTTGGTTGATGATGCATGGAGGGGATTGTAACCATGGCAATGAAATGACATACGATAGGATGAATGTAAAGCTAATGTTCTCCCATGTAAACTATCACATAATTCACAATAAAACATTAAAAAAAAAAAATCATCTCTAAGGGAACAGCTGAGGACTCTAGACTCATGGAAAGAGAGGTACTGAGTGCTGGCAGCCAGGAGGCAGGCTTGCAGAACGTGCCCTTTAGTGGTTTAAATTATTATATATTCCTGAGTGTGTTTGTGTACATCTCACAACCCCCACCCCAACCCCCCAAAAAAAGGAAAACAAAGGGAATGGAAGCAAATGCTGTTAAATGATGATGCATGGAGGAGATTGTAATCATTGCAATGAAACGATGGTGTAAAGCCTATGTTCTCCCATGTACACTATCACTCAGTTTACAATTTAAAAAGAAAAAGATGGTCTCTGAATTCAGGATGGATATACTTCAGGTCATTTTTGGCTCTTAAGAATTTGTTTAAATTTTCTTAAACTTCAGCCTTAACTTGTATCTGAGTAGTTGGTGGTTTGTTCCACAGTATGCCTCTGTCTAGTTTTGGCATAGATATTGAGCTTTGCCATCGTCTCTTCCCACAGATGTAGTTAATTTCATGTGTATACCATCTCGTGAGGTGCAGGTGTATAGTTGCCTTTTAGGTTGTTTTAAAAAGGTACCTGCAATGAATAAGTCATTATTCTTGACGAACTCTATCATGTGATCTCCAGCATCATTTTTATTAAGGCCATATATTCCAACTACTGATCCTTCCACTTCATTTCCAACTTTCGCATTCCAGTCACCAGTGATTATCAATGCATCTTCATTGCATGCTTAATCTGTTTCAAAATGAAGAAGTTGGTTGTTGTTAAGTGCTGTGCATTTGGTTCTTACTCATAGTGACCTTATGCAAGGTTTCCAAGGAGCAGCTGGTGGGTTTGAAACGCTGACCTTGTTGTTAGCAGTCCAGTGCTTATCCTACAGTACCACAGCAGGAGTCCAAAGAAGTTGATAGAGTTCTTCAATTTCATCATCACTGACTTTAGCGATTGGTGTATAAATTTGAATAATAGTGGTATTAACTAGTTTTCCTTGTAGGTATATGGATATTATCCCATAACAGACAGCATTGTACTTCAAGATAGATCTTGAAATGTTCTTTTTGATGATGAATGTGACACCATTCCTCTTCAATTTGTCATTTCTTACATAGTAAACCATATGATTTTCCAATTCAGATGGCCAATACCTGTCCATTTCAGCTCTTTCATACCAAGCTTTATGTGTTCCACTTCATTTTTGACAACTTCCAGTTTTCCTGGTTCCATATTTCGTGCATTCTGAGTTCCAGTTACTAATGGATGTTTGCAGCTGTTTCTTCTCATTTTGAGTTGTAGTCTATCAGCAAATGAAGGTCCCCAAAACTTTACTCCGTCCACATCAAGATCAACTCTTCTTTGAGGAGGGAACTCTTCCCTAGTCATATTTTCAGTGCCTTCCTGCCTGAAGGGCTGTGTATCGGTTAGTGATCTTTTGCTATTCATAAGGTTTTCAGTGGCTAACCATTCAGAATTGATCTGCTGCTCTTTCTTTCTAGTCTCTCTGGAATCTTCCCTGAAACCTTTCAACTATAGGTGACCCTGCTGGCATTCAAAATTACAGTGGCCTAAGTTTTAGCTTCATAGCAACGCACAATCTATCACAGTATGACAAACTAACAGACAAGTGTCTAGTTTGTCAATGTTAACCACTTCGGGTTAACATTGCTGTTGTTAATAGAAGAAGACAAATATTCTGGTTATCTATTATTGTATAACAGACCTGAACAGTGGCTGGAAATGGCAACAGTTATTTATTTTGTTCTTGAATCTGAGATTTGACTGGACTTAGTTAGGCAGATCTTGCTGGGGGTTTTCCTGTGGTTAAAGGTAGGTGGTGGCTGGGGTTGAGGTCATCTTAAAGGAAGGCTTCATCACTTCCATGTCTGATGCTTATGCTGGAAGTGCTCAAACATCTGAGGACTCTGCCAGCATTCTTTCCCAACTCCTGCCAGTCTCATCATATGGTAGCCCCACGATAGCTGTGTTTCCTATGGTAAAGCTGAAGGGTCCCAGAAAGAGAGTTCCATAAACAGCTGGCAGAAGCTGTGTAGCCTTTTCTGATCACAGCCTCTAAAGTTACACAGGGTCATGTCTGTCTATTCTTTGAGGTAATCACAAAGACCTGGCCAGGTTCGAAGGGTAGACACAGGTCCACATCAATGAGAGGAGTTATAAAGAATTTCCAGTTGTGTTTTAAAGCCACCACAACAGATTATTATGACTTTGAGAGGTTAGCTATCCTATTTTCTATCCTGTTTTCTACTTATACTTGTTCAGTATAAAACTAGAAGTCCAGTTTATTCATTGGGGTAAGAAATAATTATTACAGAGATTAGAATACTGAAAGGTTTACATGATCAGAAATTTCTGTAGCAGATCTTGTTGTTGTTAGGTGACATCGAGTCGGTACTGACTCATAGCGACTCTATACACAACAGAATGAAACACTGCCCGGTTCTGGGCCAGCGTCACAATTGTTGCCACGCTTGAGCCCATTGGTGCTGCCACTTTACCAATCCATCTTGCTGGGGGTCTTCTTCTTTTTCTCTGACCCTCCACCTTACCAAACATGATATCCTTCTCCAGAAACTGGTCCCTCCTGACAATATGTCCAAAGTATGAGAGATCAAGTTTGGCCATCTTGGCCTCCAAGGAGCACTCTGGCTGCACTTCTTCCAAAACAGATCTCTTGGTTCTTTTGGCAGTCCATGGCACTTTCAATATTCTCCTCCAACACCATAACTCAAAGGCATCAATTCTTCTACAGTCTTCCTTATTCACTGTCCAACTTTCACATGCATGTGAGGTTATTGAAAATACCATGGCTTAAGTCAGGTGCACTGTAGTCCTCAAGCTGACATCTTTGCTCTTCAGCACTTTAAAAAGGTCTTGTGCAGCAGATTTGTCTAATGCAATATGTCATTTGATTTCTTGACTGCTGCTTCTGTGAGTGTTGATAGTTGATACAAGAAGAATGAAGTCATTGACAACTTCAATCTTTTCTCCATTGCTAAGAATGTTGATTATTGGTCCAGTGGTGAGGATTTTTGTTTTTTTTTTACATTGAGATGCAATCTATACTAAAGGCTATGGTCCTTGATCTTCATCAGCAAGTCTTTTAGTCTTCTTCACTTTCAGCTAGTAAGGTTGTATTATCTGCACATCGCAGGTTGTTAATGAGTCTTCCTCCAATCCTGATGCCACATTTTTCTTCATAAAATCCAGTTTCTCGGATCATTTGCTCAGCATACAGGTTGAATAAGTATCGTGAAACAATACACCCCTGTTGCACACCTTCCTTAATTTTAAACCATTCAGTGTTCCCATGTTCTGTTCAAACAACTGCCTCTTTGTCCATGTACAGATTCCTCACAAGCACAATTAAGTGTTCTGGAATACTCATACTTCTCAATGTTGTCCATAGCTTGTCATGATCCACACAATCGAAAGCCTTTGACTAGTCAGTAAAGCACAGGTATACATCTTTCTGATATTCTCTGCTTTCAGCCAAGATCCATCGGACATCAGCAATGATATCCCTCATTCCACGGCCTCTTCTGAATCTGGCTTGAACCTTAGGAAGTTCTCTGTCAATGTATGCTCGCAGCCATTTCTGTATTACCTTTAGTAAAACTTTACTCACATGAGATATCAAAGATATTGTCCAATGATTTCCGCATTCTGTTGGATCACCTCTCTTTGGAATGGGCACAAATACAGATCTCTTCCAATCAGTTGGCCAGATATTTGTCTTCCAAATTTCTTGGCAGAGATGAGTGAGTGCCTCCAGTGCTGCCTCACTTTCTTGAAAGATTTCAATTTTTATTCCATCTATTCCTGGTGCCTCCTTGTTCTTTGCCAATTCCTTCAATGCACCTTTGACTTCTTCCTTCAGTATCATTGGCTCTTGATCATATGCTGCCACTTGAAACGATTGAACATCAACCATTTCCTTTTGATACAGTGACTCTCTGTATTCCTTCCATCTTCTCTTGATACTTTCTGCATCATTGAATAATTTACCTAGAGAATCTTTCAGTAACAAAAGTCGAGGCTTGAATTTTTTCTTCAGTTCTCCCAGCTTGAGAAATGCTGAGCGTGTTCTTCCCTTTTGGTTTTCTGACTCCAGATCTTTGCACATTTTGTTGTAATATTTGACTTTGTCTTCTTGTATGAAATTTTCTGTTCAGTTCTTTTACCTCCTCACTTCTTCCATTTGCTTTAGCATCTATCTCTACACTGGAGAGCAAGTTTCAGTGTCTCTTCTGACATCCATTGTGACCTTTTCCTTCTTTCTTGTCTTCTTAATGACATTTGCTTTCTTCTGTATGATGTTCTTGGTGTCATCCCACAACTCTTCTGGTCTTTAGTCTTTAGTGTTTAATGTATCAAATCTGGTCTTCTGATGATCTCTAAATTCAGGTGGGACATATTCAAGGTCATATTTTGGCTCTTGTGGTCTTGTTTTCATTTCCTTCAGCTTCAGTTTGAATTTGCATATGAGTAATCGATGGTCTGTTCCACAGTCTGTTCCTGACTTTGTTTTGGCTGATGATATGGAACTTTTCCATCGTCTCTTTCCACAGATGTAGTCATTTTGATTTCTGTGTATTCCATCTGATGAGGTCCATGTGTATAGTCATCTCTTATGCTGTCTAAAGAAGGAATTTGAAATGAACAAATCATTGGTTTTGCAGAATTCTATCATGCATCCTCCAGCATCATTTCTATTACTAGGCCATATTTTCCAGCTACTGATTCTTCTTCTTTGCTCCCAACCTTTTCATTCCAATCACCAGTAATGATCAATACATCTTGATTGCATGTCTGATCAATTTCAGATTGAAGAAGTTGGTAGAATTCTTCTATTTCACTAGCTTTAGTGGTTGGTGCGTAAATTTGAATAATCGTGGTATTAACTGGGCTTCCTTGTAGGCACATGGATATGATCCTATCACAGACAGCATTGTACCTCATGTCTGATCTAGATATGTTCTTTTGATGATGAATGCAACACCATTCTTTCTTTCCTCAAAGAATGAGCAGGTGCATTGTCGTGGTGGAAAAAATTCCTCCATGCAACTTTCCTGGCCTGTTTCTCACCACTACAGTTTTCAGTGTTCCTGAAACTTCTTCCTAATAAGTCCCTGTGTTCCTCCTATGTCTTTCAAGAAAATCAACCAAGGTTACCCTTTTGGAATCCTCAGAAAACAATCACCAACATTGTGATATTATTTCTCTGCCATGAATTGAATGGCCCAACCGGTCCCCTGGGGAACCATGATTTTAATTGGACCTTTTTTATTTTGAATTAGACTAAGACAAGTATAATACTGAGAGAACTTGTCTGCAGCCATCCACTGGTCACAGAGATAGGTTTAAGATCCACTTGTGCATGTATACAATGGAAGCCTGGTGGCAATCTTCTTTGACTTACCCTTATACATAGAATATTCCGCACAGTGCTGCTTGGTGCCAGTCATTTTATTAAGCATTTTATTCTTCAAATGATTGTGGTGGTTACATTCTGAATATAAACAGATCACATATATACATATATGTATGCATTCCTGACTGGTAGCCCTCTTTCTGAAAGTGACTTTTTATGTTAACACCCTGATAATGTTGATTGCAAAGTTCAACTCCCAGAGAGTAAGCCTAGTGTTACTTCAAGTACTGACAACAAATATTTTAGTGGAACGTTTCAGACATTCAGACAGTTTTCTCCCAAAAGCAGATAGTGAGCCAATTCAAACCAAAACATTTCGGTTTTTAGAGAACTGTTGGAGGAGAGTTGCATATCAAATTATTCTAGGGCTAAACATGAATCATTCCGTCATACAATATTTTCTATGCATTAGATAACACAGTAACTATGAAGCCATAATATTCCCTTTGAATGCCTGCCTGGGATAAAACAAGTTTTGCAAAACTTAACCTGATTTGTTGCTGGGGGGAGAGGGGGTGCAGGTTTAATAAATTAGTCCTCATGTAAATTTTTTTGAATAGTGACTATTCCTTAAATGCCTTCTATGAATATATATATATAGTGGGTTTGCTTTAAAATTCAGTGCACTTTTATTCATTTGTGGATTTAGGGGCCATGTAATTATGTCAGTTACTTACAAAATGAAATAAGCCAAGCCCCTGCCCTCTGAGAACTGTTGTTGTTAAATACTGTCAAGTTGATTATGACTCCTAGCACCAATCTTATAGGGATGACCCTGTTTAATGGCACAAGAGCATGTAGGGTTTCCGAGACTTTAAATCTTCAGGGGAGCAGAAAGCCTCATCTTTCTCCCACAGAGTGGCTAGTGGGCTTGAACCACAGAGCTTGTGGTTTGCAGTCCAGTGCTTATTGTGTGTAGCCTCTGCACTTGTTTATATACACAGGGTTCCAAAAAGTTCATGGAATATTTCTGTTATCTTTTACTTCCATTTTTCACAAACTTATTAAAACCTTTTGTATATACCAAGCCCTAGACTTTATGTATTATTTATTGCATTGAATTCTCTCAACCACCCTGTGAGGGAAGTACTATTATTACCACATGAAAGATGAAGAAACTGAGACCCCAGGTCACACAGCTCCCCAGTGAAGCAGTAAAACTAGAACTGGACTCCTAACTCCAGAATACTACAAGTGCCTTTCTGTTCCTCAGCTTCTCTGGTTTGAGTGAAGTTATTGTGGACACAGGAGTAGGGTGGTTAAAGACACAAATGACTTTAGTTTTCTGTGGAGCAGATGATCCCCTGGAACTTCAGGGTTCAGAACTCACCACTTTAATTAATTTACCACCGTTTTGTTTGCCAGAAGCTCAAATTAGTGGCATCCTTTGAACCCTAGGAAGAATTATCTGTTTTCCCCATAGGACCCTATGTCAGATTACTGTTAAGACAGTTGATTGTCCTCCTTGTCCCTTGCCTGGTGGTTACATTGCACTGACTCTGCCTTCTGATCCCCTTTCTGTGTGTTGGCCTCTTCTTTGCAGAGCGCCAGTGGAACATGTGGATCCCAGGGTTTGGCTCTGAAGAAATCCGACCTTACAAAAAAGCTTGCACCACAGAAGCTCACAAACAGGTAAGGAGCCACCAGAGGCCCTTGGGTTAACCAACGCTGATCCCATGAACGGTCTCTCAGAGAACACAAGTTCTAGGGGCACTTATCATCTGCAGTTTTCCTCTCCCCACCCCACAGCAAACTGCACTCTCCAGACTGAAGGTCGAAGAGGTTTGTGGGAAATCAATTAGATATTCCCTTGGCACTGTACTGTTACCACATGGGGTCTGTGTTTTCTCTCAACTCTGATGAGTATCATTTAAAACTGTTAATTCTAGGTTCTAATGTGTCTGGAGCTCACCCATCCATACTGCCTTCAGCACATCTCCTTTCTTTGTTGCCTCTGTATATGGCCCTATGAATAGAGGGCAGGTTAAGAAAAGCAGAAATACAAACTGTTCTTGTGCTAGGAGGTAGCATCCAGGCAGCTCTATCGAGCATTCTGGTCTTTGTCCCAGTGTAATCTGTTTTCTGCCCCTTCCGTTTATTGTAGTCAAATATATACTTATCCTAAGTGCCACAGCAGGACTCTTTAAAAAAAATTAAAAGTGTATATCTGTATCTATCTATACCTGTCTATATCTGTCTATCTAGCTATCTATTTATCTATCTATCTATATATGGAGCTCTGGTAGTGTAGTAGTTACAAGTCAGGCTGCGAACCTCAAGGTCAGCAGTTCAATACTACCAGTGGTTCTACGGGAGAAAGAGGCTTTCTGCTCCCGTAAAGACTTACAGCCTCGGAAACCCTGTGCAGGGTCGCTGTAAGTCAGAACTGACTCCATAGTACTTAACAGCAACGTATATATGTTAAGTGCCGTCGAGTCCATTCCAACCCAGTGACCCTGGATAGGGTTTCTGAGGCTGTAAATCTTTACGGGAGCAGAAAGCCTCATCTTTCTCCTGCAGATATATATATAAAACATTTGCCATTTTAACCAAGTTTTAAGTATAGAGCTGAGTGTTTTTGCCCCTCTTAACAATGGCCCTTCAGGTCAGTGAGAATCTTAACACCTCTTCTACTGTGAAACAAGTCAGCCCAACAACAGTGTTGGCCTCCCATTGACAAGATTGTTTTCTGTCTTAATCTAAATGACCTTTCTGATTTGAAAAGTGTTTTCCATAACCTGGTATCTCTGGAGAAGCAATGGTTAAGCACTTGACTGCTAACTGAAGGGTCAGAGGTTTGAACCTACCAGCCATTCTGTGGGAAAAAGGAAACTGTATGGGGCAGTTCTAGTCTTTTCTGTCAGGTTACTCTGAGTCAAAATCAATCTGACAGCAAGAAGTTTGGGTTTTGATATCTCTGGAGTGGGTAGGTTTACAGAACTCACAGAAGAAGTCCTACTGGGAACTACCAATATCTTGATGCTCTTCAGAAGGGAGTCCCTCCAAACAGTGGGCTGTCATTTTGGCTATGCTCCCAAATTATCCACTTTTTAGCCTTATATATTTATTTAGTGAACATATAATGTTCCACAGTCTCTTGGTCAAAAAGAGTGAGCAAAGCAGGTTAGTGATTTTGCCAGAGTCCTGGTGTAGCGCTGTGGGCTAATGCATCAGACTGCAAAGTCATTTGAACTTCAAGGTCGGTGGTTCAAGCTCACCAGCTGCTCCTTGGAAACCCTATACAGGGTCGCAATGGGTCGGAATTGACTCAGTGGCACTTAACAACAGCAACAAGTAGCAGTAAAATTTGAACCACTGATGGGTTGTGGTAGGTGTTAGTCTTCAGTTTCCTTTCATTGCAAGTCAGGTATGAAGCATCCGCTCCCTGTGTGTGTGGCAACAGTTTTCAAATAGAGCCCCCTTCCTGATTTTCTTCATCATTAGAGAAAGGAGAAGGCTGGGGGCTGGGGAGAAGAGTTTAGAAAGTACGTGCATTTTGATGGCTCCCCTAAATCCCTAAAAGGCATGACATGCTCCATTGCCTTTGACTTTTTTCCATCCTGCTCGCCTAGAGCAGTTTGGGACTTTTGGTCAATGGAATGGGTCCACTGGCCCATCTCACATCTTAGGAGCCTGCTGAGCTGCCCTGTAACTGTAGGGCCCCTGAGGGCTGCCGCCTTAAGTGCAGACCGTGCTGCCTGCTCTCACTGTCTGACTCTAGCCTGTGGGATTGACTTACTTCTCTTTCCTTTCAGAGAATGGCATTGATTCGGAAAACAACCAAGAAATAACACACGGAAAGGTCAGGGAATGGACATCAATGCATTTGGAGATATTTGAGCTGAGGCCTCAGCCATCTCATCCATGGCATTTTTTTTGAATGCTTTACAGAGAAGCATATATTTTTTAATAACAGTGCAGCAATATCTATAATGACTGAGAGGATCTGCCAAAAGAATAAAACCTCCTACCCCGACACCCAGTCCCTCTTCCCTGCCGTCTCAAAGAAGAGCCGTGTATCTTCCAGAGAAGATTTTATTTGTGGTTTATTATATAAGTGATTGAATATGGGACAAAACATTATGGTCTTGTTTGGTGAAACAGTATTAGCAAGACATGTAGAGGTTTTTGTTTCCTTCTCCCCTCGCCTTTCCCTGTACTTTGTAACATCAGTGTTTATATGAATATGACTTTCATTTGCTTTTACAGAATAAAGAAGTTATTGATCGAAAAATACAGAATGCGTGGCTTACAGCCTTTGGAATGTCAGAGTCAGAAGGGTGAGCAAGGTTGGGTGTAGCGCTTCAGTCAGCAGATGGCAGCATTTCTATTCTTGAGAAAACCCAGGGACTTTCCATTCTTTTACTCCAAGAGACGCTATCCTATCAGTAGGAGTTTGTGTCTTGTCTCAGTGTCCTAAGAATTGGGCAGTGATGATCTAGCCTCATGAGTCCCAAACTGAAGAGGTGTCTTGTTTCTAGTACTGCAATGTGCCTAAGGCCTGTTTGACACATTCATCCTGGAACTCGTAAAGAAAGTTGTATTTGTTCTCAGCCCGGTCCCTGTGTTTTTACCTTTTCCATCATCCTCCAGAGGAAAACCAAGCCCCTTCCAGATCTCAAGACCATATCCATGAGGCATCTAGAATCATCTTGCCCTGTGCCTCACTTAGCCCTTGTGCATTGTAAAGCTTCCGTGGATGTCAGGGAAGATGGCTCTTCTGCCCAGGGATCACCTTGCCCTGCTTGGTCCTCTGCCTCCTTTGGTGTGGTCTGAGATGAGTCCCTTTCTACTCCATCCCACTAGGAGTTTGGCCCATGACTCCTCTTGAGTGAGCAGCTCAAAGACTGTGCTGGAGTTTTTTTTTGCTCTAGCTAAGGCATCAATTTAACAAGCCTCATAGAGGCAGCCAACTTCTCCCCCTCCTCCGTGTCATGTGATATTCAGTCACCAGGTCATCCTTGTGGACTACCATGGGGAAAAGGATGTTAAAGGGTTTTACTTTTCCCAGAACCTCTTGATGCTACTAGGTGATGCTCTGTTGGTGATATAAAACAGCACGAGGCCTTCAGCTAAGTTCCAGTAGTAGGGTCACCAACCTCAGCAGCCAAGAGGGAATCCAGAGTTAGTTTTGGATCTTCTGTTGAGGACAGATGGAGTCAGCGGAATTGGGAGCCAAAATATCCTTGGAGGAGCACCCCATCCTCAAATCCCCCTGACCACTGAGTCACTCATGAAGACTGAAGAAAACACAGCATACTTGTGTTTGGTGAGGATGTCACGGTCAACAAGCAGCAGGTGACACAGACTGTGAAGAAGCTCCATGTCATTGATGTGGTCAAGGCTAACCGCTTGACCACCTGATGAAGAGAAGAAGGCAAATGTTCAACTGGTCTTGACTGTGGTACTTTGCATGTTGCCAACAAAATTTGGATCATCTAAACTAATTCTAAATACGAATGTTTCTAATTAAGAAAAAAACAAGAGACGGGCTTCCACGTCTAGGCACCCCAGAATTTGACTTAGGAAAGCTACCACAAAACCTGTGTAAAGAGATGATGTTATACAGTACCAATGGAAACCAACCTGCACAGCCGGGTCCCACCAAGACAGAAGCAAGACTTCTCTGGAACAGAGACCTTGTCTCCTGTCTCTATCCTGAGCAGTCCCTAGGTAGTAATTTGAAAGACTAGACAGATGTCTCACTCTTCCTCCCTCCTGTAGCTCTGGGTCTATAGCTGCAGACCAAGGGTTGTGCAGTGCAAAACTACTTTTCTCAACACAGGGACTTGCAGCATGCCTGAGAGGAGGAGGTGTCCCAGTCAGGAGTTCTGGGAAGGTTCTCAGACTACCTGCTCTGTGCAAGGCTAAGCTGCTAAGAATAAACATTCACCAAGTAAGAGTGCAACAAGACGGACCATACATGCTGATGTTTGTTGAAGCTGTATTTCTTCATGTTATTTTATATTTTATTCTATTTTCTTGATTCCTGGGTAAGTCTGAAAAATTCCAACTAGTTTTTTTTAAAAAGCAAGCCAACCATAACAGCCCTGGGAAGGCAGCATATAGATATGGGAACCGAAACTCAAATAGGGGAAATGATTAGTGCAATGTCCCACAGCTAGGAACTGATTAAGCCAACCTCAGATTAAATCTCAACTCCAAACCTAGTGCTCCTCTGCCCAAGGCAGCCTCCTTTAGAGAGTCAAACACAACCCTGGCCATAAGAGCTATGGTCTAATGGGCAGTAAGCTACAGATAACTCCCTGAAATCTCCAAAGAAAGATAGCAAGTCAAGTGTCCTGAAGGGTCAGAGAAGGCACTGATAATGGGGTAAGGGGCCATTTGAGCTGAGTCTGGAAGGATGAGCAGTTTTAACAAGAGATAGAACAAGGACATTCCAGTCAAGAGAGCAGCATGTGCAAAGACTGAACAGAAGGCGCTGTGGGCTATGAGTCAGACTGCAAAGTCGTTTGAACTGCAAGGTTGGTGGTTCAAGCTCACCAGCTGCTCCTTGGAAAGGAGGGTCGCTATGGGTTGGAATCTACTTGACAGTACTTAACAACAACAATCTCCTGACAACCCTGTGTGATAGACATTCTCCTCATTTTACCACGAAGCAACAGGCTCAGAGGGTGTAGAGGATCGCAGCTGGACTCCAACCCAGACCTTTGATTCCAGTCTGTGCCTGGTGGACAGAGTGGGTCCTCACTCTTCATCCACTAGGTTTCAGCAGCTCCCAGAGTAGGCAGGGCCAGCAGGAAGTGTCCCCTGTTTCTGTTCCTCCTAAGGGGCAAAGGGAATGCTTTCAGTCCTGGGTTGCAAGATTTTCAAACCAAACAAAGAAAAGGTGGGAAAGCGAGATGTTTTAGGCTCAAGGAGCAGCTCATGCAGATGCCTGGAGCTTGACTGCAGTAGCTACAAGCCAGCTACAGGGTCTGACCAAGGTTCCATCTTGGAGAGGTATCTTTGTACATATAAGCAACCTGGGACTAGAGCCAAAGGGAAGATTCCAGGACCTCACCTTTAGTAAGAAAACAGAGCCCAGTCCACATTGCCAGAAGGGGGATTCCTTATTTCCCCAAAGTAGTTCCTTTGGTGCAGTCTCTTTTTCCTCAGAGGAAAGAGAAAGGGACTTGCATTTTGTCTTTGACAACTTCAGTCTTCTCTCTACTTATCTTGGTGCTATTTATTGGTCCAGTGGTGGAGATTTTTGTTTTCTTTACAAGTATACTGAAGGCTGTGGTCTTTGATCTTCATCAGTATTTTAAGCCCTCTTCACTTTGAGCAATCAAAGCTGTATCATCTGTATATCACAGGTTGTTAGTGAGTCTTCCTCCAATCCTGATGCCAGTCTTCATATAATTTTAATTCTCAGATAATTTGCTCAACATACATATTGAAGAAATATATTGAAAGAATACAGCCTGGGACGTACCTCACCTGATTTGAAATAATTTGTTGTTAGGTGCCAACGAGTCAGTACCGACGCATAACGACCTTCTGCACTGCAGAATAAAACAACTGTCCGATCCTGGGCCAACCTCACTATCATTGCCACACTTTAGCCCATTGTTGCTGCCACTTTGACAATCCATCTCGCTGGGGGTCTTCCTCTTTTTCTCTGACTCTCCACCCTACCAAACATGATATCCTTCTCCAGTGACTGGTCCCTCATGACAATATGTCTGAAGCATGAGAGACAAAGTTTGGCCATCCTGGCCACCAAGAAGCACTCTGGCTGCACTTCTTCCAACACAGACCTGTTTGTTCTTGAGGCAGACCATGGCACTTTCAGTATTTACAACACCATAACTCAAAAGCATCAATTCTTCTACATTCTTCCTTATTCACTGTCCAGCTTTCACATCCATATGAGGTTATTGAAAATACCATGGCTTGGGTCAGGTGCACCTTAGTCCTTAAGTTGGCATCTTTGCTCTTCAACACTTTAAAAAGGTCTTGTACTGCAGATTTGCCTAGTGCAATACGTCGTTCGATTTCTTAACTGCTGCTTCCATGAGTGTTGATGGTTGATCCAAGAAGAATGAAGTCCTTGACAACTTCAGTCTTTTCTCCGTTGATAAGAATGTTGTTTCTTGGTCCAGTAGTGGGGATTTTTGTTTTCTTTACACTGAGGTGCAGTCCATACCGAAGGCTGTGGTCTTTGATCTTGGTGTACCCTTATTCGAATGACTGCCTCTTAGTCTATGTACAGGTTCTTTGTGAGCACAATTAAGTATTCTGGAATGCCTATTCTTTGCAATGTTATCCATAGCTTGTCATAATCCACACAGAAGAAAGCCTTTGCATGGTCAATAGAGCACAGGTAAACATCTTTCTTGTATTTTCTGCTTTCAGTCAAAATCCATCTGATGTCAGCAATGATATCCTTCGTCTCACTCTACCTCCTCTTAAATCTCTGGCATTTCTTTGTTAATATACTGTTGCAACTGGTTTTGAGTCATCTTTAGCAAAATTTTACTTGCATGTGATATGATGATGTTCGATGCTATCTGCATTCGTTGGGTCACGCTCTTTGGAATGGGCACAAATAGGATCTTTTCCAATCAGTTGGCCAGGTAGCTATCTTCCAAATTCTTGGCATAGATGAGTGAGCTCCTCTAATGTTGCATCAGTTTGTTGAAAGATTTCAATTTGTTTTCCATCAATTCCTGGAGCCTTGGTCTTTGCCATTGCTGTCATTGCACCTTGAACTTCTTCCTTTAAGTACCATTGGCTCTTGATCATATGGTATCTCATGAAGTGATTGAACAACATTAACATTTCTTTTGGATACAATGACTCTATGTATTCCTTCTTATTTTGATGCTTTTTGCATAGTTCAATATTTTGATCATTGTTATTGTTGTTAAGTGCTGTTGAACTGCTTCTGACTCATAGCAACCTCTTACAAGGGTTTTTGAGGAGTGATTAGTTAAGGTTGAAACGCCCACTTTGTGGTTCAAACTGATTTGCCCATAGAATCCTTCAATATTACAAATCAAGGCTTACATTTTTTTTTAAGTTCTTTCAGTTTGAGAAATGCTGAGTGTGCTCTTCCCTTTTGGTTTTCTAACTCTAGGTCTGCACATTTCATTGTAATACTTGGCTGTGTTTCCTTCAGCTGCCTTTTGAAATTTTCTATTTAGCTCTTTTACCTCCTCATGTCTTCCATGTGCTTTAGCATCTTTACACTGGAAAGCAAGTTTCAGAGTTTATTCTGACATCCAT